AATAATTTATTAGTATAATATTCGAATAAAAAAACACACTACATATTAAGTGAATTGATGCTGGTTATTTTATTTAGATCATTAATTATATTATTAAATAATTAAGAAACTAAAATGAAAGTGTTTTATTAGAATGAGCTTTTTAAATCTGGCGGAAGTGATATAATCAGTGAAATGTAGAAGCATAGATGATTTTTCGAACTCAACCAAGGTTATTTACGGGATTACATTGGTTTCCTCGGATAAAAAACAGCCTTTTTTAAACATTTATTCTCATATACAAAATTAAATATTTTAGTAGAATTTTTATTGTTACAGACATACACTATTAACAAAAAAGAATCTGAAATTTTTGTAAAATATTATTTAAACTCGGCCGTTGCGACGCCATTTCTGGTGATCCCTCGGAAAAAAGAAGCGTCCGCGTTGGCAGAATACTTGCTTATTGGATCATTTAAAGTGAGAAAATACGTGCTTCAGTTAAAAACAAAAAATTAAAATTTCAATGAAAGCTTGGCGACATTTTTTTTAAGTTGTAACCGAAAAAAATATATATATATTTCGTCCAAGTCTTTGTATTGTATCTCAACAACCTATGTAAAATTTCATGATGGTACTCAGCCGATCTCGAGAAATCGTGCCAACCGACTTCAAAAATACATTTTCGAGAAAGACGACGCACTTAGGCTAGCTCAGGCGCACACGTTCTCAAGGCTGTATCTCCGAAACTTATACACGGATCAATTTGAAAGTTTAGTACAATATTCTAGAGATCTTGTAGAATTTAATAAGACAATGAAAAATTCGATTTTTTGAAACCCGTAAACCCATGTAACCCCTTGATAACACAAGTCAGCAAAGAAATAAATTGAGCGTGGTTTTCATATTTTTGGATAATTGTTATGGTTTTAGGTATTCTGCCTTTAATTTGGCATATAATAACACATTTGCTCATAGTGTTATCTATTGTTAAGTCAATTCCACCTTAAAATTAGAAAAGAAATATTGCAAGATTGTTTTTTTTTTATTATCATTGCGTAACAAAATGTATTTTTAATTTAAAATATATTTCTTAGTAAGTACTACACATATTCATTTTTTCCACTGACACTTTTTTTGCTACATTTTCGCTTGTAACAAGCACTAGGAAGATCGCTCTGAAGCGCCTTTCTCTTCACTCACAAAGTTTGTCAAGATGGGAATGAAGAAAATGTATTTTTAGAATCATTAGGCAACCTTAAACTTGAAATACTTATAATATTCCTTTGGCGATTTATTTGTTAACTACAAAGGTCTTTTTATTGCCTGTAAAATTTCTATACCACCCTTCTTTTTGAAGATCCTTCTTGGTTGTTATCAACTGTGGATCCTTCAGCTTTGCCTCCAAGAGACTTGGAAACTTTGACTCTTAATATTTGAAGCAGTTTCCATCTCTCGGAAGTTACTATACAAATTACTTCATCAATTCATTATAAAGAGGCACCAAAGTTTCATGTACGATGCTCTTTTCACCAACTTTAAGCTCCCTTCGAGGCCAACACTTTTTGGTTAAGTGATTTGTTCGATGTCGAATATCCAGCAAACTTAAAAAGTGAGATAATTTGGTAAACCGAGATCAATATGCGAGCAACATACTCAAGTCTTTTCAATCACTTTCCAAAGGGTGGTCTTTATATTTAAAGAAAAGGGTGTAACTCACAAATTACGTGTTTAACATTTACCGATATTGCAAGAAAATGCGTAAAATTGGATAATAATCATATCCATATCCTATACTTAGGTTCATGTAGTTATGGGTTAGTAGATTATAGGTTATTAAGCCAGGTATCTCAATATAATGCTTACGTTTTTTCCAAAAATATCTTATGTTCTTAATTTAATTGAGTATAGCCAGATACCTGTTGAATAATCGACGCGACCTTTTCCTGAGCATATTTTCAGGCGTAGTTGTTACGTCCGGTAACTATGGTCTTTGTCGAACACTGCAATTTTCCTATTTAATTTGCGACTACGTGCTAAGTGACATTTTGCGATAAAATCTTTATCGCAAACTTTATATACACTCTGTTCCAACAAAAGGTAAACGGTAATTTATATAGGAATTATACATTTACATCAGCATAAGACAGATATATGACATCTTCTAACAATGGGGATGATGTGATTTTGACAGCTTGTAGCGGTCATTTCGTTTTACGGATTTATGCAATATTTATGTCAATGGGTTGGCTAAGTTTTGCCGTTTCATCAAGTAGGGTTTCATTATAGTACTAAGAAAATTTTCAAGAATATTACGCAAATTCACGTTCTGAGTCTGAGTTCTGAGAAAACGTAATTGCAAACCAAACACATTGATCGTTTTGCATTGCGGATTGTTGTATGGTGGCATCACCGGACTTTATTTCTTTCGAAATGAGGTAAGAAAAACCATTACCTTAAATAGCTAGCATGCTTTCCCGGAATATTGATGAAATCACCGAATCTCCAATCACGTCTAGACATGGACACATTGCCGTGCAAAGTTAATTTTGAGAAAGGACCCAGTGACATGGCTGTCAAGATCTTGCGACTTAACGCCTAAAAATCGTAAACAAAATGTTCGCGACAATCATCCAGCAACGCTTGAGGAGTTCGAAGGCAACAGTCAGCGCATTATAGCTGAAAAGTCAAATGTTGTAACGGGCCATCGAAAATTGGTGTAGACGGGTAAGGATCTATAAATAGAGTTGTCGTGGCCATTTGATTAAAATTACACTAATTTACTAACATACTTTTACCAGCCTGTTTTATGCTAATTTTTGATTGCTAACGGGTGATCCAAGCATGAGTACTATTTTGAGTAGCATTTTTTGACAGTTCGCGTGTGAGTTGTGTCAAGCTGTCATGCTATTTTTGTTCAGTATGTTTGACATTTCATCATGGAAAAACTTACGACTGAACAACGTTTACAAATCGCTATTATTGAAAAATATTGCAGTCCTAGCTAGCATGTACACGAAGCCGCGTCATTGGCAGCAACTTGGACTGACGTATGGAACGACTTAGCGCATTTCATATCGAGATCTTAAATTAAAATCATAAAAAATAAAGTTTTTTCAAGAATTGAAGCCGATCATCCTTCCCAAGCGACATCGGATCTTTCGAGTCAAATTTGTTTACATTTCTGGCGCAATGGGTATGCACACAAGCGAAATTGCCACATTTGGGAGGAAGAGCAATCTGAAAAGATTCAAGGGCTGCCATTTTATCCATAAAACAACGATTTGGTGTGGTTAGTGAACTTGTGGAATCAGCGGCCTATATTTATTCAAAAATAATGCCAGTGGAAACGTAACCACCAAAGGCTACCTATCGCATCATGATAGCCGACTACTTGATGCCTGAAATTGAAACTCGTGATCTCGGCGACATGTAATTTCAACCAGATGGCGTCACTTCTCACACATCGCATCAATCAATGGATTTAGTGAGAGAACACCTCGGTGATCAGATAATTTCACGTTTTGGTGCAAAACATCACTAGCCGATCACTAATCGAATTGCTAGAATAAATCATTGAAAATTAGACTCAACCGAAAGACCAACTGAGGCGTACTTTTTGAACTAAAGTTCATAATCAGGACAATTCAAATACTCCATAGACCTCTTAGCACATAAGTCACACTCAAGGTTTTGCTTCAGTTTTGTTGAGGGTTACATTATGCAAAGCACAGAGAACTTTTTAACCAAATTTGGGTATTTTACGCAATTTTAACATCGTGGCGTTCTTGTGATTAGACCCTTCAGATAATTAATCAATCAAATCAGTTAATAAAAATCATAATGTAAACAGCAGAAGATTGAAAACTTTGAACCTCAATTTCCGCTCTTTGAGCAAATTGAGTATTTATATACATTTACATTACTGTGTCATAATAGGAAACCACCGTGCGACAAAATATAGTCCACCACCTCTTCATATAGTTGCCAAGTGCTATTTTCAGAAGCACGGCGCAGCGTATTTACGCGGAATTGACGTTTTCCTTTACGCCTCACTACGCATACGCTACCTTAGTAATCACGTAATCGACAACTATGTCATCGATTCCACGAAATTCGTGTGGACTTCGTCACACTTATGAGCACATTCTCCACGGAAGTATTGCACTGTTGTGTCTACGGGGCCTTGATATTTAGAGTTTTGCGGAATGTGTGACAACGTGTCTGGCGCCATAGTTTATCTAGCAACCGCTACAGCAGTTTTCAGAATATACTGCGCTGAAGGCAAATCTATTTTTAATAATTATTAACTCGATTTATGTTGAGATGTATGTAAGCCAATCAATTCCTACATGTTGGTGTTTGTAAGTATGCAAACGACACCTTTTACAATACCTTATCTAAAGAATTCGTGAGTAGTGTGGATACAGCACAGTAGCACGGCTAATAGGTATGTGAGGGGATATTTAAGGGGTTATAAAGAGTTGGAATTTTCGGAGATATAGCCTTGAAAACTTGTGCGCTTGAGGCTAGCTAGGCTAAGTGCGCCGTTCTTTCAACTGTATTTTCGAAGTCGGTTGACAAAATTTCTTGAGAACTACACAACCGATCTTGATGAAATTTTTGCGATACAATTTCTAAAGACTTCGATGAATTAATACTATTTGAAAAAAAAAAAAAAAATTCGTCAAAATGTCTGCCAAAAATCCAATTTTAATTTGTTTTTTTTTTTTTTTTTTTTTTTTGCCAACAATATAATTTCATATATTGCAACGCCATCCGAGCCGTACAAACCGAATCACCGTCTTCGATCCATAATTTGCACATGTATTAAGAGGTAACTTCATAAATTGTATTAGCATTCCGTCACTGCCTGTTAATTTAATCTTATCTACAAATTGTTTTCAGTGATAAGTCGTAATACCCCTCCAGCCATAAGATATCCGTCGCACGACAACACCGCTTACAAATAGTAAAAATATTTCATATCAGCGATCAATATAAGACAACCTGTGAACGATACCTGCAAGTCGCTAGAACTCTGCGCTTTATCTTTTCACTCCTTCGCATGTGGAAATTTTAGATCGAAAGCGAAATATACAGTACTAATTTGTATTAGATCGAACGAGAGACATACAAAAACACGGTTATTAAATTGTGTAAAATTGATTTACGATATTAAATTTAACACTTTTCATAAACTTAAGGATTTATAATATTCAAAGATGCATATACGCGTGTGTCTATCCATATTTGTTGCATTTGTACTGATCGTTGCCAATTTTTGTGCAACAACTGAGGCGACAAAAGTGATCTTCTATAATCAACAGCCCTCGGTGAGGAAAAGTCAGTTGCTTTCGACACAGATAATGTCGCAACCATGTCCCAGGGGCAAAATGCGAGATCATCGCAATCGGTGTAGACGTGCCGTTATATTTAGTAGAAGTGAGTATGAGTTTACAAAGAGAAAAAATTTGTGAAATAAAATGATATACTATATTAGTTATTTAAAAAAAATTGAACGAAATTGAAATTGTTCGTAAATCAACGGTTAAAGAAGGTTTCAGACATCAAATTTTTATTACAATTCAGTGGTCATGTTTTGTGAATGTGCTACAAATAGTATGTGCTATCTGGAAAGAAAAATTACGCAAGTCCTAAATGGTCGCCATCGTTGCATAAATAGTCGATTTAGAGTAAAATCGTGTTAGTGATTGAAAACCGAGCTATGATAAAACGATATCGATACTCTATTAAGTGAGAACTGTCATCAACCTGAGTATAAAAATTGATTCGCTAACATTGATGCTGATAAAGTTCAAGAAATCATAATACTTATTATTAAAGTTTTGGCGCGATGTTCCTTGCTTAACACACTATCTTATTTAATCATTTTGTTTTGTGCTGAAAAACTAATGTGAAAACCTCATATTCGATTTATGTAAAAATTGCTAAATTTAACCAGATATCAAGATATCAGTGGGCAAAAAGTGCAGCTATCGTAATTACAAAAAGCTGATTGGTGTCATATAAATCTGTGCTAGCATTAACTGGAAGACTATAATTAAATTTATTTTTTCGTGGTTAAATGACATTTTCAAGTCAGTTCATTATAAATTATAACCACCATTTGGAATAATTATATTGAAAGAGGGTGTTGCCGCCATCGCTTGTCTGGATAAAAGGCATTAGAAAATATATATATCGTCAAATAAACTGCAGAACAATTTATCATAAAAAAAAAATTAAATTCGACCAGATGTAATAACCAATATATAACCATTTTATAACGAAAGCTCGAAAGTTAAAATATGAGTGTATGATAACCAATTTATAACCGATTTATAACCAAAATTCAATTTTTTTTTTTTTTTAATACGAGTGATTTCATTGTCTGTCTTCGTCTGTGAAAATTAAGAAAAGTGATTTAGGTGACGTTATGTACATAGAAGTAAATACAATTGTATATACAGTTTCGCGTAAAGTTATAGTGTAACAGTGTAAACTCATTTAAAAGGAGAATGATTTTCACTTTTTTGTACACAGAAAATGTTTACTTCTTTGAACATATTGTGAAAGCACTTTGTGTTAGAATCATTTATCAGCTCTCGGGATAATTGGTATGGTGTACAAAAAATATTTGCCAGAAACAGCTTTCTGAAAAAGTTAGACAAATTAATTGGTATACATATTTGTAGTTTGGAGTCTAACGTAATAACATGAAAATAACGCAAATTTGTTTAGAATGCTTCTGATAATCCTATCGCACCAAAATATTAAGTCAATATATATTTTTATAGCAATATATAAAAAAGACGTTTTGGGCAAGAATTTTGTTATAGGGTAGCAATAAAATTAAACTCAACATTATTATTTTGTTAATTATATTAATTACAAACAAGAAATCAAGAAAGGTCTCGGAATAGTGAAAATGTATTCAAAAGTTAACAGACTCTGAAATTGTCGATTTGTTATTCCAGCCATTTAGGAATAAAAGAACAGCGAAATAATACAGAAAGTATTAACTCTATAACGGGTTAATCTTCTTCTTCTTCTTATAAAGGGAGATCCATTACAGAAACTTCAAACTTAATGGGCAATGTTTATTATCACCGGAAAAACATTTTTTGAATTCAATTTTTTACCATTGTCTTTTTCGAATCTTGTCTCTTCCGTTGAGTCCTATTTTCGATGACTCGTTCGAGCATCCTTATGGCAGAATCGTAGAGCTCTGGCCCAATTGCACAGACCAAGCAGCTATTGCCAATTTGGAGATTCGTCAAATGGTAAATCAACGCAAGCGAACAAAATGGATAGATCACCTGAAGTCTTGCAGCCTCTCCACCGGCGTGAGTGAGCTTTGGACTACAGTGAAGACTGCGTGTGCTCCTTCACTCCTCACGAGACCGCGATTTTTACTAAAGAACAGAGCCACCACGGCCGAGATATCTGCACGATATTTAGTTTACTTTTTTAAAACAACTGCTACCTGAAATTTTCTATATAGACTTCCATACAAACTGACCGATCAAAACCATGTTCTGATATGGAAACATATCATATTTGCGAAATTATTTCAGCTTCGTCATAGTTTAAAGATTCTCTTGTTCCGTGCTAAAAACTACTACTAATACATTTTATTTTAGCTTCATATGTTGTTAAAAGTATGGGTTTAAATATTATTGATTGATGAGCAAGACAAGCGTTAGAGGGCCCAGGGTGTTGAATAGCGTGCACACTGATAAATTAAAGACTTCTTTAAAGATTTCTTTGCTATTCATTGAGCAATTGAAAGCAGTTATCGATGTTGAATTCAAAATACGTCTATTGCTGACTTCGATTCGCTTTGTAGAATAGCGAATCCTACTATACCAGATGCTTAAACAAACGGATAGCGCTTGCGGTACAACCCTGTGTTTAAATCTCTTCTGGATTGTAGTATCATGATTTCTCGGAATAGGGTATATTAAGTTTGTCACGAAGTTTGTAACACCCAGAAGGAAGGGACGGAGGCCCTATAAAGTATATATATAAAAAATCAGTATATCGAGCTCAGTCGATTTAGCCATGTCCGTCTGTTGGTATATATACGAACTAGTGCCTCAGTTTTTAAGATATCGTTTTGAAATTTTGCAAACGTGATTTCCTCTTCAAGAAGCTTCTCATTTTTCGGAACTGCGGATATTGTACTTTCGCATTTGACAAGATATATGCACGAAATTTGGTACAGATTATTTTCTAACACAACGATGTAATCTCCGAAGAAATTGTTCAGATCGGTTAGCTATAGCATATAGCTTCCATACAAACTGAACACAAAGTTACTAACAGAAATTGCATCTGTGAAGGGTATTTGGCTTCGGTGCAACCGAAGTTAACGTTTTTTCTTGTTCGTGTTTAATTTTCTTTTCTATAGATTTCTAAAATTGATTTTAAGTCTGAAGTTTTAAAAATTCCAAAAAAAGAAAAAATTTAATAAATATTTCCTTTTGTCATTTGAGCCGTTTATAATTGTATTACTGATTTAAAACGAATTTATAGATAGCGACTATAACACTTTAATGGTGGTATCCGTATGCTCTCTGGTACAAATTCAATTCGTAAACTTTGTTGTTACTTTTATATGTAATTTTTTTTACAAGAGAGCAGAAGCGATCAGTAAAATGGCGAATCGAAGACAGCTTATGTTTACTAAGTTTACTTTTTTACCTAACATACTTCATATTTCGCTTTTAAATTCTAGGCTAATTAAGGCATTAAGTAATTTATCCACCATGTAAAATGTGTTATCGTTAAAACGCACAAATTGAACGGATATCTCGTTTTTTCGATAATTCCTGTTAAATGACAGTAACTTAATTTTTTTAGAAATTTAAAACGTAAATTTTTATCTTCGTTTCTTATATACTTTACAGAACATAAATAGAAGGCGCACGGTATACACTCATTGTCGATTAGCATGCTTGAAATCATTACCAGTAAGTGTTATCATATCGAATTCATCGAATGGAACTTTTGTCGCTCAAGATCCCACGCCACTGAGTTGTCTTTGGCGAAGACATAAGCCAGTGGACGACTTTATTTTATAAGTTTATGTATATATTTTATGTATATTAAAATTATTAATATAAACAAAAATACTTTTTTACAGTCAATAAGTGTGTGTGTGTTCGTGTGTGTTAATAATTATTGCTTGTATTTATGGTTGTGAAAGTTAGAAAATAAGGAAAAAAAATGTAGAAGAAGCATTGTAACCATACTTTTTTTATGTGTCAAGTAAATCCACTACAAATTTATGAATATATAATTCGATATTTATAAAGTTCTCTTAAAGTACAATTAATCGTTTTTTAAATTTTTGATTATTTTGTAATACGTAATAATATTATAGAATAAGCAATACATATGAACGATTACTTAGAACTATTTATAGTGTAATAAATTTACTACGCAAGCTGAAAAGCACGTTTTATTATGCAGTGAGAACATTTTGAAATACACGCTTAGATATCTACATACAAATGTGCATTCTATTATCAGCTAGACTTTGCAAATGCTTAACCCATTCACAATAAGATATTAATATTTGGTTGTCAAATATCTCCCTTCCGACTTTTTGTTTTGTCATAGCCTTTCGTGGCTAGGTATAAAGCGCTATAGAGCTCGTATCTGGCAATACTATACATCTTTGAAAGGTCTTGACATAACCTACAAAACGACGCTATGCATGATTGGTTTTTATACTCTCGCAACAAAGTTGCTAAAGAGAGTATTATAGTTTTGTTCACATAACGGTTGTTTGTAAGCCCTAAAACTAAAAAAGTCAGATATAGGGTTACATATACCAAAGTGATCAAGGTGACGAGTAGAGTTGAAATGCGGATGTCTGTCTGTCGGTCCGTCCGTCCGTCCGTCCGTCTGTGCAAGCTGTAACTTGAGTAAAGATTGAGATATCATGATGAAACTTGGTACACGTATTTCTTGGCTCCATAAGAAGGTTAAGTTCGAAGATGGGCAAAATCGGCCCACTGCCACGCCCACAA